TGACACTATCAATTAGGAAAATAATTTTTAAAGTAGTGTATATGTGGGAGTACTGGCTGATCTTAAAGAAGTATTTTTCATAAACATATGTGTACATGTGTATATTTATGATATATGTTATATCATTGAATGTGAATGACATGTACACATTAATTTTTTTTATTATTTTTCAGCAAAAGCAAATCAATTATTTTTCATAATTGATGCCTTGCAAAATAGTTTATCAATTAATTTTTAGTGGACTCAATGATGCAATTGTACATAGTTTCCAAATGATAACACTAGCGCGTTGACGTTATCAGCTTTCAAATTGATCCCAACAACAAGCACTCAATCATTGCAATTTTATATATGTACATACACACATTCATATGCATATGGTTTTGGATTCGTATATAAGAAGGCATATAGCCGGATGATAGTAACAAGATAAAACACAAATTAATAGTAATTTGAAAATGATATTCTGTACCTTTATGTATGTATTTTTTAACTGCTGTTTGTTAGTGAGTGTTTTCTAAAAAAATTGTTGTACCAATTATTTCAGATAAGAATACATACAGAGCGAATAAATATTGTTTAATTTCCATAATTTTAATCGTTCTTTGAGTCTGGCAACTTTATTCTATACTTTTCTGATCTAAATAGTGTGTGCCAAATTTCGTGAATATATCAAAAACAAATAAAAGAACATGATTTTGATATTTGTTTTTGTATTGCAGCTATTTGCCATAGTGGTCCGTTAACGGCGGTACGTCCGGGACTTAACAAACATGACATATAAAGCCGATTAATATAATTTCGAACACTTATTTTTTAAAAACTTAACCTTGTAGTTCGATATTTATCTGTACATATCTTGGTTTTTTTGACGTTGATTGCAAATCAGCTTTACTATCGAGCAGTAATTATAGCAAAGCGATAATGGGCCATTCATCGACATGTTTTTTTAGATACAATAAGTTTCTATTAGAGAAGGGCGGGAGATTTTGACTTACTCCTATATATATGTAGTTACATACATATATGAGTATATACACATTTCTAAGCGTGATCAGAATCTATATTTGTATATACTTGCAAATTTGAAAAACAGCGGAATCGGTGAAATCTGATCTGAATGTACACTGTTGCTCCCCTCTAATGCATTTATCCGCATGTATATTTGTATGTATGTATGTCCACACAGAGGGGAAACTTGTTACTTTTTACAACAAACAAATTTCAGTGCCGCATACATATGTATGTATTAAGTTATGTTCGTACATACATTGTCATAACTAGTAATTAAGGAATATTTACAAAGTTCCAAGCACTTGTAGAAGTCCATTTCTCATTAACCTTGATCAATTTAATTTCTGACTATTATTGACATATTTTTACTTTCAACTACCAATACATTCAATTGAAATAAAAATTATACATTTTGTTTTCATTTTTTATCAAGAAGTTAAATATCGCCTTGAGAAATACAAATGTGAGTTTACATGAATTTATATGACAAAGTACTCCCAAATCAAGCTATGTATTTAAAAAGATTTAGTTATTCGTTCGTATTTGTTTTATTTTAAATGTACTTTATTACATTTTTATAGATAATGGCAAGAGAAGACGTATCTGTGACTAAAAAGCAGAATTCTAACGCAGATTGCAATAAATTGAAAGTTAACGGAGCTACCGAATCATGTGATAAAGCAGGTAATTTTACTTCAAATTTATATGTATATACCTGTATCTATGTATATAAAAAAAAAACAGCAAGTTTATAGCGACTTAATTAATGTTTGTCGAATATCAATTTTTATAACAAACAAATAAATGCTTTTCAAAACAACTTGAATGATTTTTTTTGTAAGCTGCACGTATAATGTATATTTGTATGTACATACATATTAAAATGAAATGTTTTGTTTATATATTACAGAAAAGCACCTACCGTTAATGTTTCATTGACACTTATTTAATTTTATTTGCAGTTAGTTTATTGGATACGAAACCAAATGTAGACAGTAATGAATATGACTTGGTGCCACCGGATGGAGGTTGGGGTTGGCTGGTATTACTGGGATCGATGATGGTCAATATACTCATACCGGGTACCATTAAAAGTTTTGGTGTATTATTTGTTGAATTTTTGGAAGCATTCGAAGCATCCCCGGCGACAGGAGCATGGATACCCGCTCTTTGTTATTTCCTATATAGTTCGTTAGGTTAGAACAGTGTTTAATTTTTTCTCATAGATACATATGCATATTTTTAATATCTAAAAGTTTGATATTTCATTTTGAGCTAACAAATTGCAGGTCCTGTCTCCAGTATATTATCTGTTAAGTATTCATATCGAACAGTAACGATAATGGGCGGTGCTTCAGCGGCATTTGGTATGATCGCGTCATTTTGGGCCTCATCTGTAGCATATTTGTACTTAAGGTAAATGAACGAGATTTTCATGGATGCGTTAATTAGAGTTAAAACAAACACCCCATAGTTATGGAGTTCTCGTGGGGATTGGTGCCGGTCTATCTTTTCCGCCAACTGTGTATATAGTGACATCATACTTTGTTAGACTACGTGGACTAGCCAATGGACTATGCATATCGGGCAGTGCGCTTGGATCAATTATATTACCACCAGTATTGCGTTGGCTGCTCGAAAATTATGGATATAGGTAAATTTTGATATTTAATAATATTTATACTCTGAAAAAGGTTTATTAAGTTTGCCACGTAGTTTGTAAGACCCCGAAGGAAAAGTTGTAGAGCCTATGAAATATATATACATATAGCAGCCGAACCTAACTTTTTTTTGTTCTTATTTTATTTCCAAATAAAAATATATTACTTTTTATTTATTCTCTCATATTGCAGAGGTGCAGTTCTTATAATGGGTGGTATAACGTTAAATGTATTTGTCGCCGCTATATTTTATGAGCCCGTGGAACAACATATGATTCGAGTACCTAAAAACAAGAATGCCCTTGAAGATATCGAAGAGGAAGATATTGGCATCGTACTGAAATTTGAAACCGTAGACGAAGCGGGCTCTATAAATAATGACGTACAATCACATGATGGTTGTAGCGATGTGGGCACAAAACCATTTCCTCCATATAGTCCACCGGCACTCTTGGAGGACAATCAATTCGTACGCAGCGCATCGGCTGCGGTAGTACAAAATTGCAGTAAGCACCAAGATGAATATACACCAACCTCACGCACACGAAAAATTAGCACACCCGTTCGCTTGCCACAACGCAATCAAACATTTACGCCCGGTCAATTGAATTCACAATCATCATTATATGCTGTGCCAGAGGGCGGTCGCTCCAGTCATAAACTCGATCGTCTTCACGCTTTACGCAACAATTCTAAAAATCGTCTTTCGCGACGTTCGCCTTCCACGAGTAGTTTTCAGTATATAAGTACACCATACCACGGCAGCACATTATCCTTTCAACCGAAAGAGTTTTCATCACACCTATCGTTGCGTTCGATGGGTAGTAGCACTGGCGCAGCAGCTAATGAAAGTTTAATGGGTGACGTTGCGGGCGATAAGGGCGAGCAGAAAACATCTTCACACTCAAAATTCTTCGACCTTAGCTTATTAAAGGATCCTACTTACTTGGTTATATTAATATCAAATTCAACAAATGCCATTGGTTACACAAATTTTATTATATTGCTGCCAGCTTACGGTGTAGCATTAGGTTTTAGTAAATCGCTATCAGCATACCTGATTTCAATTGTTTCGGCGACGGATCTTATTGGACGTATTGGTGGATCGGCCCTTTCGGATCTCGGCCTAATACCAAAGACATGGTACTTCATTGGAGGCCTTGCAATATCCGGTTTATCGCTAGCGCTTTTACCATTCGCCACCACTTATGGTATGCTGAGTTTTTGGTGTGCCGTTTTTGGTCTCGCATCTGGCATATATGTCGGCATCACTGCTGTTATAATGGCTGATATGTTGGGTGAAGAGCGTTTAACATCATCCTACGGCATTAGCTTATTTGTAAATGGAATATTGCAATTGATTGGACCACCACTATGTGGCATTTGGTATGAAGCGGTGATGGACTATAGTCCACTATTTCATACATTGGGACTAACGTTATTGTGTGGCGCCAGCCTTTGGAGTTTCATGCCATTTATTAATAGACAAAAAGCCAAAGAAGAAAAATTGAGACAAGCACAATGCGACAACGAAGCGCATTAAATGTATTTTTCATATACAGAACTGCGTTTTTTTCTACTAAATGCATTCTTATTTACTTAAATTTAAAAGTAATATTCGCGAATAGTTAATAAAGTAAATATTTTGTATACAAGAAATTCTTCGTTTTTTTTTTTTTTAATTAAGCTGTGGCTGGCATAGTTTGTATATTAGATTTGTATATCCGTTTGGTATAGCCAGTAAGTTCAAAACTAATGTGGTCACCAACAAATGAAGTAGCATTAAAGTGCGGGTACACAACTCTCCGAGTGATTACCACTTACTCAACAACAAATTTCAAAATTGTATCTTATTTGAGATACCACTTTTTAATACGGCTATTATGTAGAGCCTACTAGCTTTTCCTTCAGTTTAGCGTGAATTGAAGCGCGATCATCTTCGTGGTGTTGGTGTTAACCATGATTCAATTATATAATGTTGTATCGATAGCCCAAAAATAATAACTTGTCAAAAGTAATTGTATCCGTAATGTCAGAATCAACTATTCCGTTTTTTAAAATGTGTTTTTTGACACCCTGAACACATACACACGTTCTTATTGACACAGTTATGTAGTTGTGCAGCTGTCATAATAAATGAATAACTTTTATCTGACTAAAGGTTTTGACACATTTTGTGTGAGGTGAAAACTTCCACGTACTTCAAAAGCGTATACAAGCTAAGGATTATAGCTCAAAATTGTTAATATATTTTTTATTAACATAATTGCAGATATTTCTTTTCGCTTTTATTTAACTTTTAAAAAGAACACAATTAACTATGCGTTTAACAGTTTATAAAAATAAGGTAATTTTTTATTTCGTCAATTTGATTTATTTAAAATGATATGTTTGCGTATAATATTGTCAACAAAACGAATAAAAAGTATAAATGTATTATGTATGTATACATGTACATATATCTACATATATAAATTTTTTGCTTTGACCATAATATTATGTGTTATTATGGATATTACTGTGTTAGTACTAAAATAATATTTTCGTTTGTATTTTAAATTTTTGGTGGCTTCATATAACCCTTTGAACGCATGAATCGTACAATAAATGGAGTGGCACCCAATGTAATGCTTATGCGCACGGGAGCGAATACTTTGTGTATAGCATATGCAATAACAAAAGTGCTTGCACCTGTTGTTATTTTATTCGTTAGCGCCGACGATGCAAACCCCACCCGCTCCAATATTGGCACAACATCTATTCCTCTGCAAGAAAACAGAAAACAAAACAGTTAATTTGATATATTTATATATAAGTATATGCACACATTGTCATAAGACTAAATTTCCCACCGCAGCATTAATTGACTGTTTACAATATAGTAAATAATGTACATACACATGTACATTAATTAAATTTTATCAGATGTAAACGTAAATTAAATGACATTCTTAATTGTGGAAACTACACGTTTCGCTCTCAAGAAATTAAGCAATTTTACGGCAGTTACATATGTATATGTACATATGTACATAAACATAAAGCATACAATCGTAATATATTTATACCCTGGACGAGGTATATTATGTTTGCCACAAAGTTTTTAACACCCTAGAAATCGATAAAAATTTTACACACATTCCTTTATCTTAATGAAGTCGCTAATTTCTCGAAATAGTCGTTATGAGATCACTGTAGTATATAGCTGCAATAAACCGGAGCAATCAAAATCAAGTTTTTGTATGGCATTTTTTTTAATTTACAAGATATCTTAAGTTTGGTATAGATTATTGCCTAAATCATCGCTAAAATATCGGATCATATTGTTCCGATCGGATTACTATAACAGACATATGTATATAAACAAATTGAGCGATCAATATTTAGATAAATATTTTCACAAAATATATCTTATCCTTAATAAGTAACTTTAATTGGACTTCAAGACACTTTTTATCAATGTTTTCCATTTTCAGATTTATTTATGCATACAGTTGGTAAAAATAATGCATTTGTAAAGGGTTCTTCGTGCAGCTTCGGTGCAGCCGAAGTTAATGTGAAGTGTTTATTAACAAAATGACTAAAAACCAAGTAAGGAAGAGCTAAGTTCAGGATCGTAATGTAAGCAATTTTACACATACATATGTGTATATGTACGTATGAGAGACCAGCATCGAGTATGATCGATTCGGTTTGATCAGCCTCGCTCAAAACGGTCACAACTCAGCACAGCGGTTCACTACAAAATTGTTCGATCAAGTTTCGTGCTCAAAACGAAGGAGATCGATGTATTGGTTTGATTGCTCTGCTTACTGATACAAACTGATTTTTTGGTTCCGGTATGATGATCGGAAATGATTGTACAGAAAAAGACGGTCGAGTCCAACGATGCACGAAAACTCAGACATCGATAAAGTGTGCGTTTGAATTGATTGTGATGGAATCAATCAGATCGAGAATTTTCCTGCGAATATGTATGTGCATAGTTTGTATGTATGTACATATTTGTGTGTTTTAACGGAAACAAGTTGCGATGCATAAAATTAACCAAAACATTACTTCATATATTTCTTCAGTTTTAACGCTTAAAACTAAAATTCAATTAATGCTTAAAATTAATAAACAACGGTAATGCTTAAAATATTAGGGAACACAAATTTCAAATTTTAATCACTTCTTCATTGAGATCAACAAAAACTTAAAATTAAAAGAAGGTTTATTTTCTGGTTTCAATCTTAATTCCTTAAACTTTTATAAAATGAATTTAAAAACAATAAGCTATCAACTGAACATGGTCCGAGCCTATTTCTTTTTTCAGTTATAATATTTCCTGCTAAATAAAAAGAACGCTCAGCGGCTGCGCTGCTGGCAGGAATCGAATAAATTTGCAATGCTATTTTTATTAAAAATGGGTATTTCTTTTCATTATTTTCCCACCAGTCAATTAAATAAAAATGTTCATCCATTGCAACTTTTTCATTGCAGTACCTTTCAAATTCTTCCTCAGGCGTCTCCGCGGTTTGTGTGGAATTCCGTGAAAATGCGGGAAAAGAAAGTGTCGTTGGTTCTATCCCCTGCTGAAACTTGGTTATTGATATCTAAGGTACTGTCTGAGTCAAATGAAAAATGCGTTAACGATGCTACAATTTAGTCTAGAATTGTTTTGTAAGGCTTTTAAGATATTTGTTCCTCTATCCGTTACGAACGTAATTTTTTCAATATTCGAAATATCAAATTAATTAAATAAACTTTTAAGTTTTTTTAAGATGTTGCCACCTGTTTTCCTTTCGAAATCCATTGATTTCATTCCCAAAATTAGGTCAAAGAATTTAAAATCCTATTGGTAGTGGAATGTTACTCCTGTTGTTGTTGTTTTAACGGTTATCAGTCCCCGTTGGGATGGTGTGGGTTATCAGTGTTGTCGTCGATGTCATCTAACGGGAGGCCCAGGAAACGTGCCGTTTCGACGGGGTCGGACCAAAGGGAAAAAGGTGCTTGATGGGTGGGGTTGGTTGGGCATGCAAAGAGGTGGTCAGTGTCATGCGGAGACTCGTTGCATGCAGGACATACGTTGGGTCTATTCTGGATAAGTAGGAGTTTAACCTGCTACAATATCCAGAAAGAAGGTGTGCAAGGGTCACTCGCGTTTGTCGCGACAACTCGAGCTCTTCGCCTGCTATGGGTGGTGATTTGACTCCAAGTACGCCATTCACGRGGARGGAGTCGGTGAAGGTRTTGATGGCTCCACTGTGAATGGCGGTCAGTGCCTGTCGGAAATCTGTTGCGTCCGAGGTCCTGTCGGCGTATTGTTCGATGTCRTCGACGTGATCAAGGAATGACCTCTTGATGCTCCTAGGAGGCGGTTCCGCTCCAAGCAGATGACTGCAAGGATGATTTCTACGATTTCCCCATGTGCTGCCGGCTAGCGACTTGAGGATTTTGTTGCGGCTCAGTACTTTGGCGATAATCGTCGTATGTGAAGAGAAGGAGCATAGACTGTCAAAGGTGACACCTAAAATCTTAGGGTTATTGACAGTYGGAATTTTGACGCCGTCGACTGCAATATTAAGTTCCAGTCTATACTCCTTCGTCCAGTTCGTGAATATGGTCGCTGTGGATTTGGTAGGGGAAAGTTGGAGGTTCCGTGCATCGAATGTTACTCCTAAAAAGTTGCGCTTTACAAAGTTGTCCGATCACATATCAATTGTTGCTGACGCGCCACCACTGCTTGATTTCAGCCTTTAATTCTTCCTACTTTTCATTGGCGCATTTCGAGACTTTACGTGAAGTGGTTGTTGGATCCGGTAGCATGTCTTCCACGTCGACGTGCTCGCTATAAATTGCACCGATCTTAATAAAAAACTTTACAAGCTTAACAAACCCAGAAGCGCGCACAGCTGAAAATGGCCGAGATTCTTCTGTAATCCAATTTGCGCATTTTTCAATGGTCTCAGTTTTGTCCAGCGGTGTGACAGTTTTTAAACTTTCTAATTGCTTTAAGCTTTTGCAGCAGCTGTGTCTGTTTAAATTTGACGTTCGCTCCCCATAATTATGCTCTTTAATACTTATAATAATAATTATTATTATTTACGCCACCGATTATTGAGATCAAACTGCAACTCAACTTTTAAGTGCTGTATGTGGGTATTTGCTATCATAATACAATCATTTGCGCAAAGACGTAGGGTAGGTAGGCTCGAGCTGATGTAGCGCATGCTTTGAGCTCTTGAAAGGATTCTGCCGTTACAACAACAACAACAACAGCTCTTGAAAGGTTTATTTTATCATTTGCAAAATGCTGTCGGGATCAGCTACCTGGATCCCATCTACGAACGCCAAATTTTTTTTTTTTTTTTTTTTTTTTTGTAATAAGGAACCCGCATACCAAGTTTCATTAAGATATTTACAGCTTGGACGAATGGACGGAGAGACAGACAGTCACCCGGATTTCAACTTTTCTCGTCATTCTAATCATTTCTGCTTGAGTGATTAGAGGATTTTTAGATTTTAGGCTATCACAGTGGATGTGCCAATTAAGAACTAAAATTGAGTGAGTACAAATTCTTGCAAGGATATACGAATGAGCTTTTATACTATTATACCACATACAAAGGAATTGCCTTTTCTATAGTGAGGTCTAAAATAATAGATATTAGTTTATACGACAGTCGGGTGTTTATTCTTATAGGGTCTAGCTAATCGGCACGAACTTGGATTTTATCCGACCAGAGGATTTAGGAAATAATATTACTAACCAATCATGTAATCGTGTTAATAATACAAAACTATAATGGCATGCATTTACAATCACAAATAAAAACAAACATCACTCATAACCATAAGCAAATGATAGATGATAATTAACGTGTGCAGTTAAAAAACTATCCGAAGGATTGTTTTTATAGCTTACCCAGAGACTAGTAAATAACAGCAGCCAAGCGATGCCAGTGATATAGCTACATGAAATACTATAACAGTGGATCCATAGTCTTTAAATGCCTTTTTAAGTTGTTCCTTTTTGCTCAGCACTGCCGGTGGTTTATCTCCATCAGTTGTTGTACTATAATAACGTTTGTCTATCTGGCTTGGCATGCATTTAAGAATTGAAAGTGTGTTCGTTGGCAATTTAGCTGTTGCTGTTGCTGTTGCTGTTGGAATTAACGTGCAATGATGCATTTGCTATTAGACTATATTAAATTGACGGAATGAGTTCAGCGCAAAGCATGCTCAATTATTTCAAATATACATACTATATAATCTTATACACATACATACATTCACACACATGCAATAAACTTAAACATTTAATTGAAATGTCATACCTTTTTCATTGATGTCAAAATCCTGATCATAAGTCATCCAGTCTGAACGCACATCCTTACGCAAGTTTGTGTAATGGGAATTATGTAAGTTGTTCGACATAAATTTACCCTCTTGCGACCACTGACCGCCGGGCATATTCAAATGCGAGAATTTATGCATTCCTCCATATGGATTTGGCACGCTGCTTTGCATTACTGCATTAAGGCTAACTGCCCCAAAGCAATCATATGATTGAACATGAGGATCTTGTACGCCATAGTCAGTATTTGGAGCGGTTCTTGCTATGTTTGTGTTATCAGCAGTTATGTCTATATTGGACAAAACAGATTGGGCTTGTTGTGATAGTATCACAGGACCAGTTATATCTCTTGTACGATTTGGTGAAAAGCGTGTAGTCTCAGCTGGATCGATGTTATTAGGCAAGGGTAACACAGCAACTCGAGTCTTATTCGGACGTGCAGCAGTGGTATGCAACGTCTTTATCGCACAAAGACCTAAATGAATGAAGTAAATATAATATTATTTGAATACTTGTAAAGCCGCAATATTCGTTAAAACAAGATATTAAGAGAATACATTGCTTTCAATTGTATTGTATCTTTTGTTCATTTATATGTACATATGTACACGTACGCATGTATTAAAAAAAATTGTATTGTGTATGCATGAACATCGTAATGCCCTTGAAATTATGAAAATATTAAGCGAGATCTACTTTTAGAGTAGATTTCGCCTGCAGGAAAATAGTTTTGCTAAATACATACAAATTATATGTACATATATATTATTTAAGACGCAATTTCTCAGTTGCATACATGTAAATTCCATTAGTTCATTGGCTGCGACTATTATTGTTTATTTTTATGCTTTGTTCGTTATATATATAATATATATTATTTCTATAATTTGCTTCAAAATGTTTGTTGTTGGGGTCTTGTCGGTAAAAATACATAACAATATGTCTTTCTAACTTGTTCCTGAGAGTGAAGTGAGAATTTATTTATATTGATATATTAAAAGTTTTCAATTGACTTGATAAAACCTTTAAGAGGTATTTTATTGTAAAATATATACATACGTTCATATTATTAATAGTACACAAATTTAAAACTTTAATTAAAAGCTAAAAACTTTTGTATTTCGATTATATTTTCTCAGTACATTTAAATGTTCACATATTCACTATTTACATTTTGATTAAAATGTCCTTGAAATATGTAAACCAATTAGACCGGCCAATTGTTAATTTACTTACTTAAAACGTCATTAGTATCTCTTCTATAGCACAAAGGATTAATTGTGCCAATCCGACTTGCAGAAATAAGAACGTTCTTTGTATTATTAAACATTGTTAACTTCCCTCCCTTATATTATTAAAGATGAGAATTTATTATTAAACTGAGTACAAATTCCTTAAACCAATAAAAATAATTGTCATTTTGACATAAGTGCATTCTAATCATATATTGCCATATTTACTATTTTTATAAATGAAGAAATCGTTACTCTATATATATATTATAAATTTATTGCTCTATTCTCCTGAATTTAGTGTGCCGCATAGTTTTGAAATTTTCTTATAATTTAAATATTTTATGCCATATAAAAAAATGTTTTACTAACGAATTCCATTTTATATCTCAACTAAAATTTTCACATTATTTATCCGTATTTCTTTTGCTAAAGGTCACCACGAGATGTCGCCTAAGATGACACATCGTCAGATGTCTCTGTTTTCATTAGTAGGATCGAGACAGGGATAAAAGTGAAATTTAGTGCAACTACGAAAATTGTTTTGATGTACGAAAAAACAGTAAACTGCCCTCATCAAATTTTATTTATTCACTTGTGTATGATTTTTAGGAAAGTGTAATTCGTTTCGAATCAGTTTAGAAAATCGCAATCATTTACCAATACTCCATTGCTCCGGAACAAGGGCTGCTGCAGCGAAACGCAGCAGCAGCTTAGCGGGATTGTGATTAGTTAATGCTAAAGGAGGCTGTTTGGATGCGAGGCGATATCATTGTGTTAAAATGTTGGCAATCAATAAGCAAAATAATTAAGTGTGAGGGTTTGACCCCGAAAATTTGGAGAATAAATATAAGGTTGTTTAATTAACAAGAGGCGATTCGGGAACGGCCTTGCCCCGCCCTATATACACAAGATGGGTGGTGACGCAGCGATGCGTCGCAGCGCTACGTTAACATCAACGCACAATGAAATGGGTACAATGGCACACTTGATGGAAGGACAACGTGACTCTGAGCCGTACAGTACAAGTAGGCAGGGTAATGGACTTGCGGCGTCAAGATTTGCTTGCCTTCGTTGCTGTGGAAAATTCATTTCATATCTTGTACGTTTACGCAACACACCTGAAGAATTGGAACAACGGTATAAATCTCGAGAGATCGACAAATTTTTGGAAAAAGAAAAGCACACATTTCGCCGTCAGGTAAATAATGCATCTATACACAGTATATTCACATATATGCATCTAAACCTATACAGATACACGTATGCATGTTAATTGAACAATTGTATAGACATTAACATAAATATTGTATAAAACGCATATATATAGATGTTACATATATTTTAGGTGAAGCTTCTGCTTTTGGGGGCAGGTGAGTCAGGAAAATCGACTTTCCTCAAACAAATGCGTATAATACACGGTATTAATTTTGAACCCGAATTAATCCGCGAATACCAATATGTGATATATCAAAACGTACTTCGAGGTATGTACCGTAATATTTTTATTAATTCGTTGTATGAAATTATGATATATATGTTCATACTTTTACAGGAATGCAAGTATTGATTGACGCACGTCAAAAATTGGAAATCCCTTGGGAAAACAACGAAAGAGAAAACGACGCAAATTACGCCAAATTAATTGAATGTAGTAACGTAGAAATCGACAATTTTATACAGGGATCTCCGTACATTCGGAGGCTATGGCAAGATCGTGGTATAAGGCGTGCTTATGAAAGGAGAAGAGAATTTCAAATTGTAAGTTTGCTTCTACTACAAAAGCATTGGAGAAGTTATACTTTTAAACATGCATTTCAGAGTGATTCTGTCAGTTACTTTCTAAATGATATTGACCGCCTTGCTACATATGATTATGTGCCAACACACAAAGATATTTTGCATTGTCGGAAAGCAACCAAAGGGGTTTATGAATTTTGTGTAAAAATACAAGTAAGTAATCATTTATTTTATTTTGAACTATTGTGATACGGAACTCTTCGCTACCTACCAATATGCTGAGTGGGGTATATTACGTTTTCCACGAAGTTTGTAATACCCAGAAAGAATAAACTAGTCACTTAGCTTTTGAGATATTAAATTATTGTCCAATGCAAAATGTCGATCGGCTACTGTAGCGTATATGTATATAGCATCATTTATATTATCCACGCTTTAATTGAATTTGACTTCCTTTGCAAATTTTCATTGCCCAAATCACATTCACAATGCCTCTGCATCAATTGTAACGTTTTAAGTACACAACAATACATAATTGCGCCCACAGCTCAGTTTCATTAATTAATTTATATGTGCATATATATTTATTTTGTGTATGTTGTATCAATGACAGGTTCAGCGCTTTGAATACTAGCTTTTACACATTTAAAATCTCGATTTCACTCAAATAAAAATATGCATAATTTCTTTTTATATTGCATATATTCTTCTTTTTTTATCAGTGGTTAAATAATTTTTGATTGGTTCTACTATATTTATATTTAGACAGGATTGCGTATTTTTCAACTAAATTTTTTTTTAATATTAAATTTTTTATCCCAAATCGGAATAGCTGCAAATTTCATTTTTTAAATCCAAAATTAGAAGTAAAATTTCTAAACTAAAAATATTTTTAATAAAAAAATTAATTTTATCTCAAAGCAGGAAGAAGTAGAATAAAATTTATGGTATCTATTAAAAACTTATTTTTATTTTTCAATCCGGTACTTGTTATTAAGAATTATATTTAATTAAGATTTTTGAAAATACAAAATAAAAAAATTGTATTTAAGTGTTTATTCAATTGTCTGTTTACTGCATTATTTGCAACTCTATATTAACATATCTTATATTTTCTTTCAGAACATTCCATTTGTGTTTGTTGATGTTGGTGGCCAGCGTACTCAACGACAAAAGTGGACAAAATGTTTTGATTCATCTGTAACATCGATAATTTTCTTAGTCTCCAGTTCAGAGTTTGATCAAGTCCTCGCTGAAGATAGGTAATGTATAAATCCAAAAAAAGCTATAGTTTTTTTTTTCAACTTTTTACTTTAATAAACAGAAAAACCAACCGATTGGAGGAATCGAAAAACATATTCGACACGATCGTGAATAATAATACGTTTAAGGGAATATCAATAATACTATTTCTAAACAAAACTGATTTGCTTGAGCAAAAAGTACGCAATCCAGAGACTGATATCCGCTGGTATTATCCCCAATTCAGCGGGAACCCACATTCACTGCTCGATGTGCAAAATTTTACTTTGCAAATGTTTATGAGTGTGCACAAAAGTCCGCAAAGCCGCATCTATCACCACTTCACCACTGCCATAGACACAAGAAATATGAAAGTTGTATTTAATTCAGTCAAAGATACAATATTGCAGCGAAACCTGAATGCTTTGATGTTACAATGAAAATGAAGCAGCTAGTTGTGTGTCCTAATAACCCTCATGTTGTCGGCATATTTACATCACCACAGTCGAGGAAGATTTAAATAACATATGCCTGGAAAATACAACAAACCCGAAATGCATGTATACTTATAATTTGCATATATATATTTATTTGTTACATTGGTGTAAAAGAAAAAAATAACTCCAAAATCCATTTAAAGTGCATTTTTCAAAAAATGCCACTAAAATGGGCTAATATATATGCATATATCAGTGTAAAAAAATTTTATGTACATATATAAAAATTGTTTTGAATATTTATACGTTTATACTTACCGTATATAAGAATCCAATGTATTCATAAAATTTATAAATATACTGTATTTATATACTATATTTAAAATCTAATTATATTTTGAATAATGTATAAAGAATATCATATTTGTTAACATTGAAGTGGACTATATTATTCAAGAATAGCACAAAATATCAGTATAAAGCATAAGCAATAAATGCGAAATAACTATCGCAATTTATATAAACATACATACACAAATTTATATATGATATCCATATAAATATATAATAGTTTTGACGTAACAGATTTTACAAATTTTCTACTAACATTTACACATATAAAGCATATATTTTTATATAAATATTCATACAACAGAAAGTAATATTATCCACGCCTCTTTAACAAATTAACTATTCAACCAAGGTTTATTGTGATCCATGTATTTTATCGCTTTATAAATCGATCAAATAAATTGTCCCTTTAATATTTAAATATAAAATATATATAAAACTAAGGCATCGAAATGTATGTGTGCATCTTTTATTATGTGAGAAGACATGAGATCAAGAAGATAAAAAAATTAGTATCGTAATGCATATGCATACAATTTGTACTTGTATGGGAAAATTGTCATATTTATGACAATCATTGTCATTGTTGCAGCGGTAAGAAACATCCACGAAGCAATTTGTTGGAATGCTGCAGAATTGACGGTCATTTACCACAAAAAAAATCCGGTTACATTCCGGTTTAGTAGACCCAAATTGTTTGAACATTTTTTGTTGTTGTTGTATCGGTAGAAAACATTCCTGAAACAATTTCGAGAAATGACGCCGAGTTGGTAGTCCTTGGTCGGATAAACATTCAGCAATTTCATCAATTTTCATGAAATAACTGATTTTAAATAAATCAATTCCAAACAGATATGTATACCCGGAAAAGAGTACTTGCCAAAAAGTTTACATCACCCAAAAGGAAACGTCACGAGAGGATAATAAGTTATATATAAATGATCAGCATAACATAATTTGTTATTTAATAAGATAACTTCACGAAAATGACCACAATAGCATGTAGCTGCTATACATACTCAACGATGAAAATCAAGTTTATGTATGAAAAAATTTTTAGTCGACAAGATATTTGGCACGTATTATAGTCCAAGGCATCGGTTCAATCTGCAAAGAAATAATTCAGAAAAGAATGACTGTAGCATATAGCTGCCTCACAAACTGAACGATGAAAACCAATCTCTTGTGTAGAATATTTTGTGTCTGAGAAGGGTATTGCAGCTTCGGTGCAAACAAGTTAACGTTTTTTTTTCTGTCTAGTTTTCTATTGCAAATGAAGTCAGCTGATGAATGCTTTAAAGAATGCAAGGTTTATAACTAAAACCTTTATAAAGTCTGCTATGCTTGTTTATTTACAGAATATGCAATGTATTTATAATTGACCAAGTACTCCAATCAAAGTAGGATTTATGCTGCTACAATAACTTTATAATAGCACAATGATGTGACTTAATAGCGGTTGAAATCCCTTTACAGCAGCAATAACACCTAGACGATAGTTTTGAAATTCTTGAAACTAATATGAACTGATACAGAAATAATACATCACCAAACCACAAAGGAGTTCCGAATTAATTATTCTTTTTAATACACATTATTATTCTTTTCATAAGTTGTCATTGCTGTTTTCTTTATTTATTATAATTTTTTTTTTTTTTTTTTTTGAGTTTACAGTTTTGCAAAAAGAGATCCATTAGTGAATACATGAATGATTCTTTAATAATTGCACAAAATTTATATTTTTGTTATACTAAAACATTTACGCATTATAAACACATTTTCGTGTTATTTTTTCTTTACTACAAAAAAAAGTAGTAGTGTATAAAGTGGTGATGTGTATAAAATTATATTTACTAGTTATCGTGCAATAATGTGCAATTCGCAAATTTTGTGACATTATTTATTATAAGCTAAAATTATATACTAAATTAAAATTGATTAACTCATATTTTTTGGCTGTAACATATATTTTTTTGTTTTGCTTAGCATTACTAGGTTTTCACAGAAGCTTTAATTTTTATTGATGATATAGCTAATAATATTATAAGGCAAAATAGTTTTAAAACGAATTTAAATCTCTACAAAATTATATTGTTCTTTTAATTTTTCAAAATAACATTTGCAAGTTTGATTAGTTGTTAAGGCTTGCCGTTAATTTACTTAAAATAAATTGTTGATGATAGTGTAATGTATGTTGTAGTAATTCTATGATCAATACATTTTGTTGTGTTAAAAAATTTTTAATATTTTTAATAAAAACAGATAGTTTTACATAATAAAAAAAATTAGTTTGCCTTTTGACACGTCAAAATCAAACTATTTAGTTCAAAAAAGGAAATTTTTCATACTTAAATGGTATACTTACAAAATTCTTATACTGCCATTTTGGTTTGCATTGATAAATTTTTGTTTGAAACTTTTAACCTACATAAGTTTGTTAAAATTTTACTGTTTATGTATGAATTTGTGAAATTTAATGTAATATCCAAAAACGTACGTTTTCATTTCATCTTCTTCAGAATAAATATTATTTATATAATTTTTTTGTATTTTGTGCGCGACATTATTTTTTAATTTTTTTGTGTCATAATATTAACTTAAGAAAATACTAAATATGTGTATACTTAAAATTTACTAGCACCTTGCCAATTATAAATAAAATTATTGAACTTAATTAGAGACATATAAAATTATTCAATCTCAGTATGCACGAAACATAACTTTTGAAAGGAATCCCTGAATATTGTATTCCTATATGTGTTTTTGAAACTGGCTAAAATATATAAAATGTGCAATTTTTTTATTTTTTATTTTAATAAATTCATTATTAGATCGAATATTATTTAGTATTCTTTGCACCTTTTTAAAATAGACGGTTTTGGTCACCATAGTAAATATAGTTTTAACTGTTCGTAAAAAGTTGGACAACTGGACTTATAATTTTCAGGAAGCAGTAGTCAGTCCTATACCATACTGCAGTCCTGCAAGTTATTTTGATCTGCAATCATTGCAATGTGGTAATTGAATTTAATCATTTTAAGACTTGTGAACACAATGCGTATTCAATAAAAAATTATAATCTTAAAAACAAAAATATTAAATTGTATAAATTGCTGTTTAAATTATTTAATTATTTTAATTTAAACAGGCACTGTTAAGATGCTTTGTTTCATAAAGATTGCAGTATTTTTTTTATGAAAACATGTGTTAGCGATTCACATAACGATTCCATATGTTCTTACACTATTGGAAGCTAAATATATTAAAATCTGTTTAAAAAAATTTGTGTTAAAAATACTGCCCTAGAGTTTTTAAGTTCTATTAATTTCTTTGCAAAACATTATTACCATATATAATATTCTAAAATACTCTAACCAATGACTGAAAATAGTATTACCAGGACGGATGAAAGTAATACACTTAAAGTGTTAATTGAAAGTTGCCATCAATGTGTCAGATTAAAATATGTATCAACTTATAACTTAACTCTAAATTAAATGTATAATTCTGCAAAGGTACCTAATTCAAAAGTTTTGAAGAGAAACATGTATTTTCATGTGTTTTGCAATCACATAAATACATAGCATGTATACTTAAATTTTTTTCTTTCTACATTCGCTTCCATTTGGCTCATTTTGTTAGTTCACCGTAATTGTAATATAGTGGAAACCAAAACAGCTCAAATGCTATTTTGTTTGTTAGTTAGAGCTTCAAGTTCCAATATTTGTTGAAAACTTAAGAGAGTCTATCAAAAACAGAAAATGTAATATTCTTGTCTTTGTATAAATGGATTTGGTCTCAAACGTAAAATATTGTTTATAAACGTTTTCTAACTGACCATATAAATAAATAATAAACTATAGATTAATTTCAATAACTAAGGATAGAGGCAGTATAAACGATAATACGGTATGCCTTTATCGCAGATGAACTTAAAATTACGTTTTAAAAACAAATATACAATAATAATAGTAATTACTTTTACCTAAGTGTTGCTTCTACTGTTACCGTTTTCACAATTTGTTTGACTAGTATTGCTGCTGAAACCACTACAGCAACTATTTTGAGTTGCTTTTGTGCCAAAATTACCAAGTCCAATTGCATCGGCGGTAGTTTTATTCACATTTGTGCCGTCTTTACTGCGCGCCTGATCAATTAGCTCAGCAGCAATCTCATAAAATAGGCGTTCAACATTTTCGGCTTCTTTGGCTGATGTTTCTAGAAAATACATATCATGTTGTTTAGCAAACTCTTCGCCAATTTGTGTTGGTATTTCCCGATCATCGCGATCTGTTTTATTGCCAACGAGTATTTTTAAAACTTTCGAATTTGCATATTCCTGTATTTCACGCAACCAGTCAGGTAAACAGTCGAATGTCGGTTGACAGCTTATGTCATAAACAAGAATCAGTGCATGTGCTGACCGATAATAACTTTGTGTTATTGATCGAAAACGTTCCTGACCTGCAGTATCCCATATTTGTAGCTATACGGTGAGAGTAAATATTAAACAATTAGTTGTTATATAATTTTAAATGTTTAATTTGTGTACCTTTATTTTTTCGCCCTCAACTTCCACAGTTTTAATCATAAAATCAACGCCGATGGTGGCTCCTTGGCCAGGTGGAAATAAACCTTGTGTAAATCGGCGCACCAAACAAGTTTTTCCCACACCCGCATTGCCAACAAGTACAATTTTGAAAAGAAATTTGTAGTCCTCCATTATTGCCTATTTTTAGCCGTAAGTAAAATAAAAGATAGTGTGATCGTGATATTACATTTAAAAATAAAAATTATTTTCAAATAACTATTTCTATTGCATTAGTACAAAAGCTCTAACCATATCTTATACAATTCTTCGTAAATTAATCCAATAGTTTGATGTAATGGCATTATGTAGTATTTGCATTTAAATTCTAATTGGAAGCGGCCATTATTTTGTCGTAGGTGTGATATAACAAATTGAATAACATATTCACTTATGCGTAGTCTGTTAAGTCATTTAAAAAGGAAAACATGAAATTAAATGAAATGAAAATTTAGTAACAGAAATAACAATATTTTTAATATTCAATATTGTCACTTAAATCTATTTATGGAGGACAATTTTTAAAAATCAAACCTTTATTTAATAAATTTTTTTGCAAAATGAAATGTTTGCAGAATCAAATAACAAAATGCGCTTTACATACTGAAATGTTAAATTTTAGTTTACGTATTACTTATACAGTCATGAACTATAATAACATTGTTTTTTTTTATCAAATACTTGACTTTGTTAACAACTTTTTTGCTGATCACAGTGTTGTTATATCTAAAGTTTTACATTACTTTTCAAGTGTAATTCATTCATTAACAGTGATATGGGTTCTTGTATATATTTAAATTCTTTGGAACTGCTCTTTTAGTGCTTTACAATAAATTCATAGCTTTAAAGGTATATTTAATTTTCGTCCTCCAAAATACGTAGCACTTTCTAATATGACATCATGACTTTGATAGATTTTTCCTTAACGCACACTAACAACATTTACAATAATGGTATATTAGATGGTCAATATTGCGTACCACCCGTGTAATGATGTTTAAATATCTCTCGATTACAAAAATTTAGGCAATATTGTTTTTGCAATACTCACCTGTCCCTGCGTAAGCGTTAAAAGTGGTGACTCAACTATTTTATTTTTTATTTCTTCACTGCCAAATTTTTATGTTGAAACTTTTGGTTGGGCAATTAACCAGTGTCTTCTGTTTTTCTTTTATAAATAATATATTCATACAGAATATACTTAAACTCTAGTGCATATTATTGCTTTTATTTTATTATAAGCTTTTCGAAATTATTATCAAAATTTTGCAAATTTTGGGATGTAAACAAACACAACGATGCTGATCGCTATTTATATTAGGTTTTAACGATTGAAAATTTTTTCAATTTATGGTTCCAATAAAATGTATGATTTTATAGTTGCTGTTTTAGTTAAAGAAAAATACAGAAAATCTTAATATTTAGAAGTTTTCGAGGCCCACCATGAATTTTAATAAATGTTATGCTGAACACTCCTATGTGTGATGTTATTTCCTATATAAGTATTTACTTTCATGTATGGAGTCTCGATTGCTGGCCAACCCTCGTGAATTTACTGTAAGGGTGGTGTTCATTGCCTAGTAAACAATGTTGAAGTTTCGCTAAAAGAGATCTTTTTTTGTTTTTAGATATTTTACGTCAATAAATTAAAAAAAGCATCTATTATCCATATATATCGATTATTTAAGTTTTTATTATAATAAATCAAAATATTTAATATGCTTGAACCCATTTATGTATCTTGAAACAAATATTTTAAATACTCTTGTACATAATAAACAAAAACTCATATAAGTCATATAATAGTGGGACTCTGTAACCAGTCTCTGGTCTCTATTTGAGATATTTTGAGGTAAAATGTCAATTTGTGACTAGTTACAACTCACTAAACAGTCTCTAGTGTTAATCTCAAAATATTGCCTCTAATTTGAGACCTGATAGCTAGCAGGTCACAAAACTAAAAAGAACTCTTGTCTGCCATATTGAATATACTGAATAGAGATCACCATAAATATTAATCGATTGTCGTTTTTTTATATTTTGTAAGCAAATTAAACACGAAAAGGTTAAAAATAAATAAATTTTACATAAATTTCGTTAGTATTATGAAACAAAGCCAACATATCTTTTTATTTTTATTGATATTTATGTTTTTTGACTATGTTATAGAAAATTTAATATTTGGTATCGACATATTTATTTTCATTCAAGTATAAAAACATCTCTGAATAATGAAATGTAATAGAGTTTGTGACTATCACTTACAGAATCGTCTCAAGTCTCAAAAAGTGTCTCTGTCAAATTTAGAGACTTTAGGCTGTATCACAGTACAGAATCGCACGGTAAGTATCATATCCGTATGCAATATTGTAATAAATTATAGTAATTATAATTTATTATAATTGTATATAACATTAACAGAATTGTCGTAATGCCTCTGCTATTCAGATTAATTTCATTACAATATTTTCTAACGCATTTTATGAATTACTCGACAGTACTCGAGTCTCGAATCGTTTCGCGTCGTGTATTCTTCGTATACCTTCGTACTTCGATAAGAAAAATAGAAGTTTCCATGCTTTTTCACTTCTTCGCGTGAAGTATAAAATTATTTATGTTTTAAAACATCAAACAAGTATACTGTGTTATTTAAAAGGCACAAATTATCAAAGTATAAAATCCTTTCTTACTAAATAGGAATTGAGATAAATAAATATCCGTGGTTTCAATACAAGGAAAGGGTCAAACATCTAACCAGACAACATGGCCGAAGATTTTGATGTCGAAGCTATGCTGGAAGCACCATATATTAAAAACGTAAGTTTAAACGACCTTAGTTGTCCATACTTTATCACGATTAATTGACAAAATATGATTAGTAACGGAAAGGTAAAAAGTGGTTACTAAAATATTAAAAAGGTTCACTAACATTTTATCTAACATCCTATGAAGGTAATTGCCTTGCTGTGCATTTATAGAAAACATTGTGTGTTCTCGAAGTATATAAGCGTACATATGAATTAACACTCGACGAGCCTTGAAACGAAAGCAAAATAAAACAAGCACTTGTATATAAAAACTTGTTACGCTTGAATACCAATTTAGGTATTTTTCCATAGTCAAACGAATATGATTTGACTAAAAAGATAAGCTATGAGAAATGTTTGTGAAACTTATCTGATCACAGCATAACATTTGATGTTCAATTTTTGAATACATATATCACGGCAACAGTTTTCATAATCTTTAATTATGTGTCGTGCATGCACTGCTAGACGACTAATTATCAATGCTGCTCCAAAAATAGTTTAGTACGAAAATTACTAAAAGGCTTACTTTCTCGTAAAAAATATTTTATATTTTGAACGAAAAAAAGTGGGAAGCAACATTCTTACCTTACACCCTACAAATAACCAAGAAATTGCGTTCTAACAAAGTTTAAAACATAATATAATTTTATCATATTGCTTATATTTCGCTCATTTGGTCATAGAATCTTAAGATTTCTTCGTGTTGTGTATATATTTCTTGTAAGAAAATTAAGTGAAAAGCCACAACTACAAGTACTTGTGATAAACTAGTTCTTTAAAGTATTCGATTTGTAAATATATATAGAAATATCCATTAGAATTAATTAAGAGTATTTAACGTGTTCATAGTGTCAAGCATGTAAAGATCTAGAATGAAAAAAATTATATTGTATTAAACAATTAAAAGTGGATTTGAAAGGGTATAGCATTTAGTTCAGACAGTGGATTTTTAAGTCATTGACCAAATTGAATTTTAGTCTTATTTTGGTTATCGCAGTTTGATATCGCGAATTAATTGGTTTCATTACAAAATTGATAGTATAAAAATTAGGGATATTTCTATAAAAAAAAGTTTAAACATAATTATGTTTACCATTAAATTACACATAAATTATAATTTGATGTAAAAAGAGTAAGGGGCTTGACAACGTATATCCTACAGTAACTTGCGCTAATTCCAATAATTTTTTTTTTTAAACAAGTCAATAAATCTTAGGTATGAGGAAATTTCATATACTTAGATAAAAGAGCGTATATTCTTTCCACATAGTCGTAGATTTGCGTTTAAAATAACATATAATATTTTTTTATCTTAATTGTTTTTGCAGAATTCTTACATTATTTCCGTTGCGCAAAAAAACTAAAATTTCATTGCCAATCACACATATATTACGTTCAGTTCTTCCAAATTAATTAATAAGTCTCATTTATTACAAATCTTGATAATCTAAGCTGGGTCTTAAAGTGGCGACCTGGTAGACCCATAGATATTCTTATTTTCCGAAGAACTTAACATGGCAACTATTAGTTGTTAAGAAATTTTATAATTTTTTTTATATCATTATAGATTATGTATTTTAATACTAAATCGTTCATTTGCATAACTTAATTCCTGCTGAAAGTCGTTTTTATGAAACAACTTAAACTTCATATAGGTAATATTTTATTGAATTGTTATGTGTACGAATTATAGATTTTGAGGTTTTAAAATCACGTTTGTGGTGTAAAACATTTAATGGGATATATTTGATGATTTCAGAATCAAATATAAATTATAATTTTCATAATTTTTTAAATGTAAATTTGCATTTATATATTGATCAAAGGAAGACTTATACAGATAGTCATCCAAATTTTGGGCGGGTTATATGTGCTACCTGTATGTATGTATGTATTTTTTTTTTTTTTTGGAATTTTTAATTTTCTTGCTGGCACATTAATAAATGATGTGGTTGCTCGCATCTATATGTTTCCTCATCAACCACTCAGGATAATCCTATTTGAAAAGATACAAAAATAAAAAAGACACATTCATAACTCGAAAAAATATGAAATAATTCTCAAGGGTGAAATGTCTTTACAGAAATCGTAAAAGCTCAATTTGTTGCTAGTGATTGTTTTGGTCATTCTAACGATTAAAGCCGGAGACCATTTGGTAAGTTTGAATGCGCCAGAAAAAAATATTTCGTCTTAAAAAAAGTATAATATTGTACTAAGAAACTTTGTATCGATGCATTTTGTATGTCAAGCAAAAACTAAGTTTTCTTTTTGTGCTAAATCTTAAAATACATACATAATTATATCTTAAAAACAAACATTTGAAACGTTTAAAATATAAAATGAACTGAACGTGAACTAAATTTCAGATAATCTCGTACATATTTGCGTCTGTGTGGCAGCACTTCTCTTAAACAAACAGGATTTTGAAGGGCAAAACCAATTCACATTATCTACCACCTACCTACTTCACCCCAAAAATATGACAAAAAAATACCACTTCAACTTTTCGAATCGAAATCGAATGCTTGAGCAAATTGCATGAGAATATGTTTGTGAGATATTTCGCTGCCGAGCGAAGGTTCCACTGAATATTCTGAAGCAAGCCAATAAACAAGAGTGTATATTGCAATAGAAAGATGCTACATCAAATGATTAAATAATAAAAAAAAAAAAACATATTTATAATAAATGAAAATAAAAAATCATAATACATAAAAATCAAAATGTAAATGACTGAAGCAATGGACGATTCAGTGGTGGGAAATTAGCCATCAAATTAAGCCCATTGCTGCAAATTAAAAAAAAAAAATAATTGTATGTTTTCACAGAAAAAACGATCTAACTAATTCCTTTGATTTGCTTTCTCTCATTCGCTCAACATCAAATTTTTAACGAACCAAATTCGATTGACGGCAAACCGCAACTTGCACGTCAATTGCGTCCTACCACACTTCCTTCTCCTATAAATATATGTAAAATAGAATGTACCCAGTCGGGGGGGAGATCACGATGCCAGCAGCAGAAAATCACCATACAGAGAGCATCAGGAAAGTAGCAGTAGCAAAGGTGGAAGCAAATCGTCATCACATTTGAATGGACGTAAACATTATTCAAGGTAGGTACTTAGTAGGAATAAATTGTTGTATTTCAATATTCTAATATGTTTTATTAAAATTTTTAGAAGTCGTTCGGGTTCACCACGTACTACAGATGATCGAAAAGCGCGCAAATCAAAGGATCGCGATCGTCAACGCGATAGAGACGAAAGTAGTTATTCCAAGGATAGGGATCGCATCCGTGACAAAGATCGTTTACGTGATCGTGAACGAAATGGAGAACGCGAGCGCCGTTATGGATCACAAGATCGTGATCGCGACCGGGAACGTGATCGTGACCGTGATGCTGAGAAACGACGTAGTCGTTCCAAGGACAGGCGTCGATGTAGCCGATCACGAGAACGTGATCGTCGTTCAAGAGAAAGACGTGGTAGTAGACCACGCTCCGAACGACGGCGTAGTCGTTCCCCAACACGAGATCGTCGCTCAAGAGAAAAAAAGCTAAGCCCGATTCGTGAATATAAAGGCGGTCGTCCAGGATTTGGTTCAAACTCGAGAGAAAGAAGGTACAACTCCTTATATACATACACATAAAATTAAATTCTTCTATACAACTGTTAAGAATTTTAATAATAATTCTGACATTTCCAGCACC